AGATGTTTATGTTGATGATGATGGAGGGATATCCACACTGATATCTTGTGTGAGGATCGTCACCTGTTTTGTTAAAATGATGGTTACAACATTCATCTGGGCGTTGATTATGCTTGTGCTCCTGCCCTGACCTTACCAGAGAGTCCGGCAGGGAAATATCTATTGCCATGTGACTGGTAGATTAATGGTATGCATTTCTTGATTCCTAGAAAATTTGGAAGTAGATTCTTTTGGTATTTGGTTTTTTAAAACATTTGATGAACATGAAAGGAAATCAGTTGGTGCTTTTAGTTGTTTCTGAATTTTTTGTGGTTGATGATAAACATGAGGGAAGAAACAAAGAAAGAAAAGGATTTGGGGAAACTCTGAAACTTTGCGTTTTTTGCTTCATTTATTGGAAAGCCATATCTACATGGACAAAAGTACAAGTTCATTTGTCTGCTGTTTCAGGGAAAATTTTAGGATTTCTTCTTACCTCAGCAATCAAAAGTTTCCTCCTTTTTTGACAAATTTTTTTCGCTGTTTGTTTCACTTAAATTTCTCTTCATTTATTTTGGTAGCGGAAACATTGCGAGCAAATTTAAGAAGATGGTACATAGGGGTGGAGGCAGAAATTTTTTTCGGGAAGGTAAAATACTAAAATTTTCAAAGTTTAACAGAGGTTAAAAAATTTTTCATATACTAATTTACAAAATTTTCAAACTTCAGGGGGGCGAGCGCCGCCCTCGCACCCCCTTGACTCCGCCACTGATGGTACATCCATCAGAAGATAAACTTTGAGAGTGTAGATATGTAGGTAATGTTCCCAGATATTTGGTCAAAGCTTGGAATTAATTTTGGTATGCTATCTCAAGAAGATTTATTGAGTTCAGAAAGTGCTCATTTATGTTTATTCTCCTTTCATTTATGTTATCCTGGAAAGAGATAAGATGGGGGGCAGCTTATGGATTGGGTGGTCCATTCGATAGTATTTGGATAGTGAAATGGAATAAAACATTGGATATTGCTACATTGGGAAGAAAAATGGTGACTTTAATGAAACCTAGGTGACATGTGATTTGGCGGCTTCATAGGAGTTGTTCAACCTCGGTTCTGACACCTAAAGAAAACTTATGATTTCAGAGTAAAATCCACAAACTGACACGGAGCGCTTGTACATAGTTAAGGTACTTTACAGTTGACACTGCAAATTGGAAGAATTGCACCACATAAATTTTTAAAAGAAAATTTGATTTGTGTGATATGTTCGTCTAATTTTTGGATTTTTTTTTAAAGTAGAGGAGTCATCGACATTTTAAACGTTAACATACAGATAGATGGTGATAGCCTGATACTGTTAAATTCAATAATGTTTAGGTCACTTTCCTGTTAGATAATTGGAATTTTGAATGTTTATTGATTGTAGATGTGGATCTTAGGAAATCCAGTGAAGATTGAAGGAAATGAGTTCTCTA